CTACGGGAGGGATGGGGATGGAATGCATAAGATACCACAGCCGATTGGCCGAGCTGATAGCCGCCAAGAAAGGGGAACGATACTCGCAAACAATTTCCTGGATCCGAGCAAAGACATCCTTTGCCCTCCTTCGGTCGGCCTTAGTTTGCCTTCGAGGATCGCGGGTGAAGCGCCGCGCTGCGTATGACTATAATAATTGTGACGTTGAAATCGCAGCTGCCGAGGGAGCCATTGACATTGTTTAATGCTTTTTAGCAGCCATGTTTACAAGGTTCTAGGTTTGCCATTCACCTTTCTCTTTTCTGTATAGTTTTAGACATGCTTTTACCTATCAGATTATTAGACTTTGAATCTGTTAGGATTTGACTCCGTTATTTTTAGTTTTCTAGACACTTTGACATTAAAAAAAAGGATTAGATGTGAGCCGAAAGTGAGTTATTTTGGATCGTTTTTTACGCTGTTAATATTTTGTATTGTAGAGGATTTTATGGAAATTATTGCTAAATAAAGATTATTTATATTGTTATAATAATAATAATAATAATAATAATAATAATAATAATGACACCGTTGTTTCCAAGTGTATATTCTTTTGATACGAGTACCCTGGAATACGTTCAGTTATCAAAGATATATCAGGGGCTCTGATGTACTGTTCTGATAAAACCATATGCAAAAGAACTTCCAGTAACGATGAAAAATTTTCGTTCCTTAGATTCTTTACTAACCTGGATCTTCAACCCTGACCCATATCACTCCTATCACACTTTGTAACGGATTCCGCCCTTGGCAAAGATAAGCTCCAAAATCGTCTTTTGTCGTGTTAAGAATTGTCAGCTTGTTTCCAGAAATGACATGTCTATTGACAGGAAGTTCACTCTGCGCTCGTGTCCACGTTACTACGGGTGTAGGGTCGCCAAATATGTCCCATTTTAGAGTAAAGTCCCATTTTATGTAAGCTGTCACAGATATCTCTGGTTTAATCCTGAATTTTGTTGGTACTAGTGAAATACGAATAAACGCAAGAAATATATTAGATATTCCATAACCACTTACTATTAGAATCACTAAAAAAAAACAACAACAACAACAACAAATAAAACAAATAAAACACAACAAATACAACAAAGATACGAAAAATCCTGCAGATTTTGAAGCGGTAAAATCCCATATTTGTTCACACGCTTTTGTTTTTCAGTTTTCTGAAAAAAATTAATTTGGACACTGTTCAATCACTCTTGAGTAACTTGACAAGCAACTCGCCACGATGTGGCAAACCAACCCTTATCGAAAACTGACCAGAGACGGATGATTGGTCTTGAACGAATTGATACGACACAGCATTTTAAGTTTAATATAAGCGAATGAATTGAAGTGTACGTTAATCATTCAACCTACCTTGTACTGTGACATTTGCAGATATTTTTACTCTACCCAGTATATTCTCCGCGATACAGATATAGAGACCGCGATCTTCAAAAAAGATATTTCTTAATTCCAGGCGTCCTTCTTCAAATTGTTTCGTCTCGTGCTCAATCACTCGTTCATTTTTATACCATGTTATTTTGGGCTTTGGAAACCCAACTGCCTTACAAGATAATATTACATTTTGCTTCTCCGTGACGGTCAAAGAGGAAGGTTTTATGATGAAATGTGGTTTTTCTGAAAAATGGGATAAATCTTATTTGAAGACCACTCTTTTACACCAGCACTCCTTAGATCAGATACAACAATTATCAACGCAATAATTCAGATTCCTGTGGAAGATTCATGGTCATATTGCATGTTTCAGTTGATGTACAGTTTCATGCAGTTAACATTATCAGGTTTCGCGTTTTGTTATATTCTCAAAAGACACCAATGGAGAGGACGAAGTCTTGCATAATGGCAGGACCCAGCCACAACGATGAAATATCAACCAACATCCATTTTAACGAAGCGTGCGCCCTAGCCCTTTCTAATTAATCCCCATTGCGTTATTGTAGTCAGTATCGTTAAGTCAAATTCTTATTTTTATATATAATTTGTATTTTTGGTGTTCTGATTTGTTGACCCCATCAAATGCCATTTGACCTTATATGGCAAGGAGTGAGCCCCCCCTTGCAGCAATAAATATGCCAATTTAAAAAAAATTATGTTCGATGTCCTATTGGTTATAATAACCCCTAGCGCACACCGAGATACATGCATATGGAAAGTTTGCAGGGCACTCAAAGAGCAAAACTTGCTTCCGCTTGTACTAATAACTCGACAAACGGAATGAAAGCAAAGTATTAACCATTTTCTAAATAACACTCATCTTTATCATAACGAACTGAATATTTAATAATGACGTCAAAGATACGAAAATCTTACTTAACTGGGGCCCTCCTTTCCTTCCTTTTCTACCGGGAGGTCCCTTGGGACCTGCAGGTCCAGGAAAACCGCGAGGACCTGGTGGACCTTGAGGTCCAGTGCGACCTGATGAGATTTAAGTAATAATTACAGATTAAAATTGTAAAACCAAGCTGATTGATCTGATTCAATTGCCATGCAACTCTTCATCTGTTTGGAGACCTGGTACAGACTTCTTGCCGCTGGTTCAAATTTGCTCAAGGCCTCACGATTTCTCGTTGGTAAAGAAATGCTGGATTCGTAGCATTGATAATGGGGACCTGTCCATACAGGCTCATGCAGACATCATGAACATACCTTTCATGCAAACGATATTTTCATGACCTTGATCCTGTGTGTTATTCTGTTGATTTAACAAAAAAAATTACGCTTCAACCAAGGCATCAGGAAAAAGACAAAACTAGAAACTTTCCACGGAATCTGTGTCTAGATCATAAAAAAATAATAAGGTCAAAGCCATGCTAGTGTGGACCTCACTCTGTCAAATTTGGTTATCAAACACCATGAATACAGATGGCTCGCATATCATAACATAACTTTTTATTTACAATTCAAATGAAAGGTGAAAAGGAGACAAAATAAGTCAGTTATCCCTTTCAAATTTTCTCCTAAAATGTGGATGTTCATGTTACATTAATTGAGTTGTTTCGGATAACAGATGCTCAGCATGCCTGTTTATGAAATAAAAACTGGTTTTACAAGACACCCAAAGATTCATTATATTTTTTTGTAATCGAAGATTGACCTTAAACTGGTCATTATTCGTCGCCTGGGCATTGGAAGACTCCCGTTGTGTCACAATGAAATATACCTTACCTGCTTCCCCCGCCCCGGCTCCATTTTCATATTCTTATGAGCCACACTCCCATTGGCACTTAATTGGCAACCGACTGTTATTTCGTCTTTCTTTTAAATCCCTCCTCCGTTCCCCCCTGAAGACCATGCGCGCCCCCTTCTAAAAACAAAATAGATCCATCTTCCCAGGCGATAAATAATGACGTGTCCCTCAGGCAAACATACGAATCTAAGTTTGGAAATTTTCCCGCAAACAGCCAAACTGGTTTCTTGGAGGAAGCATTTCAGTTTGAGTGTACGATACCACGAGTAAAAATTATCATTTGCTTACGTACA